CCCCAAAGGCGGCCGTTTACTTCAACAGCCGAGACAACATCGATCTGGAACCCAAAGTTGTCGAGCGTGTGGTCAAGTTCCGCCGTCTTCGCCGGCAGAGACTTCGCCGGCGGTGGATGATAAGGATCCCCAAGCTTTCTGCTCGCCATGTGTAAATGATTGTGGATTCTGGGAAAAAAGAGGCAGAGGGAAATATGATATCTTGTGCCGACAGCTGTAGGTACCCTCAGCCTCCAACGATGACAATTGATAGAAAATCGTATGCAACCCCGTTATAATAAGACAAGTTTCGACTGGTTTATAGCCTTTGGATTCGATTTTATGAAGCTGAGTTGCTGTAAGATTTGTGCACGTTTGTGGGGAGGAAGAGTTATTTAAATATGAATGTTTAAAGTGGTAGATATGTAAAAATGTAAATGGCAGTTTGGCATTTGTGTAAATGCTAAAAGATATGTTGGGATCCACGTTTGATTTTAAAGAAAAAAGTACATTTCGTTTTCATATTGAATAATTGATGCTTTATCCTTAAGACAATATTTTCTTAAATAGTTTATTTTTTTTTGTTAAAATTGTGATAATGCTTTGTATTAAGTGTACTTATTCAATTAATTAAGCACGTGCTTATCAATAAGTTTTCTTAATTATGGCTCGAAGATTGTAATATTTTTTAAAACTATTTTTCAAGCTCATAATCTCAGTTATCTTTAAGAGAATGAAAGCTAATATCTAATGTTGGTCGCCAACCTCAACTATAGTTATCCTGAAAATTAGACAGGGGTATTTTTTATATACACAAAAATCGAATTGCAAAATCAGTCCCTTTCCCTGAGAATTGCTGATCACTGAACAGGCCGAGCCAAGCCCTTCTTTAATGGTGATTTTCTTAGTTTTGCCTACTTACTGAAGTGAGCAGGTCACTTCTGATCATCCAAACTGGCATGATCCAAATGGAAATAGAAGAGGAGGTCACGTCCTCATTAAAGCTTTCCCATCAGAAAGATCGAGAAAAGCTGGCCTATAAAGGGTTAGAGCACGTTGTTCTAAGGAGAAAAGAGAATATTCTCTATGGCATAAAAGAAAGAAGGACGGATGTCCTGTAGCGGGGACTTCTTCTTTGGGTTTGAGTTCTTTCTCTCTTTCTCTCACACTCTTTTCTCATTATTTCTCCTGCTTTCCTCCCGATACATGAGGCCTTTAAGATCTTATACCAAATTGTGTGGTATCATGAACAATACAGGATGCTGCGTCTCAAAAAGATTCAACATATATATACATACATATAAATACTCATTAGAAAAATGAATACGCTTTATGAAGCTTTATTGAGTGGGGTTTATTAAACTTAATAAAAGTAATTTTAATTAAATAAGCTTAATTAAAAAAGTCTTATTTTATTGAACCTAGCTTGTTCACAACCACTTCTTTGATGGACGCCTTATCAAGCATTGAGCCTTAATCACATTTTATATTGAAGTTTAATTAAGCTTCTTAACATGTTTGTTTACAAGTTTTAAATGATTGTGTTCATGATCATAAATAAATAAAGTAATAAGTTATTCATATTTAACTATTTAACAATCAAGTATTAATAAAAATCTTCAAACATAGTTGATTAATTAAACGATCATAAAAGGGCTCTAATTAAACTAAGCCATGAAGAAGTTACTAGAAAGCTAGTTCATTTATAGCCCTAATAGTTAGGAGATAATAACAACTATAATTAGTGTTAACTCATAGCACTAGAGGTGTTATGGGTAGAGCCTAGTTGATTTTTTTGCCCTCATGGCTTAGATCATAGTTTATCCTTTTTGAGATCATGCGATGTCGTAATCTTTCTTTAATGATATATAGTGGACCATAACATGGCTAATGCTTGCACTAGATGACCTTTGATGAGCGTCATTACACCATGGAGCCACCTTGCATCTTTGTATTCATTCAACTAAACTAACAGAAAACTTTATGACCAAAACAAATATTTGGTTAATGTAAATGGACATTTTAATATGATTTAACACCATCCTTTCTCAAGTTTATCGAGCGAATACAGAAAAAGAAAAAAAAGTAGAGGATTAAAGGCAAAAAGTCAATTAAAAAGCTCAATGGAAACACCAAGTTTTTTCAAAGCTTAAATGAGGCATATATTTACTATCACAATAATTGCACACTATTGGTGACAATTGTTGAGATCCCGACTTTGCTAAATAATTTAAGATAAGAAATGGATTTTGCATGTATTTTTGTGTGTTTATGTGTGTGTGTGTAACATGATTATACGATGCCTTTCATTAACAAAAAAATTTTAGCTTCAAAAGAAAACTACGATGAAAGAAAATGTATTTCTTCAAGGTTATAAAATCGATCTTCATAATGTGTTTATTGGAAAATGTATGATTTACATATTTAACTTATTGACACATCATGAAGTAAGTGAATTATGGCATCTTCTAAGATAAAATAAATGAATAAAATAAATGAACTCCATAATTTGGAATGACTATATATATACAAACACACACAAGTACACACACACTCACACACAAGTAGGGCTGTCAAAAAAGCTCGTTGTTCGCGAACAGTTCGTGTTCGGTTCGTCAATGAGTTCGTGTTCGATTCGTTCGATAAGTAAATGAGACAAACGCGAACAAATTTTTTTCGTTCGGTTAGTTAAACTAACCAAACACGAACAGTGATGTGTTCGTTCGTGTTCGAATCGTTATTGTTTGAAATACAAAATAATATAAAATAATTATATATAAAAAATTTATTATATTTTAAAACATTAAATTTTATAAATTATAATATATAATAAAATAATAATAATAATATATTAATATACTATAGTAATAATATACTAATATAGATATTGTATATTTATATAATATAAGTTATATAATTAATATATAATATTATTTTTATAAATTAAAATTAGGGATGTCAAACTGGCTAGTCGTTCGTGAACAACTCGTGTCCGGTTCGTGTTCGGCTCGTTTGTTAAGAAACGAACACGAGCTTATTTCAAACAAACTAAATTTTAAACAAACCGAACACGAACACTAGCTTTGTTCGTTCGTGTTCGGTTCGTTTACACCCCTACACACAAGCACATGCCTAATAGTGTTGTGTTTAAGTCCACTCGCCTTTCATAGATTACACCTTAGTGGTTAAGCTCCAAAAACTCTTTTAATTAAATACCAAAGATTATTATTATTAAAAATATGATTTTTAGTATGAAAAAACACAAGAGTAGAGGAGCAAATGATCAAAGGTTAAAATAATGTTTGATGAATGATAATCTATGGGACATGAGCTAAAGTGATGTAGTGTGCCTAAGAGTATATCATATATTAGGCTTTAAAGTTTAGTCATTAAAACAATTATATCTATTATATACTAGGCACTATATTATTCTTTGATCGATAACTAAAGATGTTGGGATAACAATAATGAACAATCCAACCAAACTAGCTAAAAATCATAAAAGGTGGTCGTTGAAACCAAGAATCCAAGGCAGTGTTGTTGACATTACATAATTGAAGGCTATGGTAGGAGTGGATGCAATTATCCAAAAAATAGACTTCAACATGATCTTTAACTTATTGGATATCTCCAGAATTGTCAAGTTAATAAAACACCCATATCGTAAAGAGCAATCACAATCATTATTGATAGTTCATTTGGAGGAAGGAGAGAACATCAAGTTTTCATTGGGATGTAATCGTCTTTCAACCAAATTTAATTAGTAAGGTTAATGGTTATTGATATATCCAAAAAATCAGCTCAGTCAGACAAGAATATCTATTTAGACTAAAAGCTTTAAAAATCAAACTATTAATTACCAACACTCTAATTCAAATGTAGTGTCTTCATAAGTCGATCCAATGGCATAAAAAATGCTTTGATATGAGTCCAGGTGAGCACATTCATGCACTCAAGGCATAATAGGAAGCCTTAGGGCATATTTTGAGGAACCAAATGATTTTCAAATCCAACAAGCTTATATTCAAATCAAGCATCATGATGGTACAAATACAATAAGCCTAAGACCACTTAATTATGAATTTGATAAGGTACTTGATACACCTAAAATATATAGTACTTTTAGACGCATTTTTATACCTATTTTGAGATATTGCGGTTTAATGGAAGGCAATTGTGTGTTTTTCTTTCAGGTACAAGTAAAAAAGATGAAAAATGCTAAAGTGGAAAATGCTAAAACGAGTGAAAAAGGGATCAAATTTGGAGCAAAGAGGTGAAAATTGTGCGAAAGTGTTTTGGCGCCTAAGCGCCAGATTCAGCGCTTAAGTGCCGGTTAAACAGAGAAGGTCGCGCCTAAGCGCCAGAGGCCCCACTCTTAAGCGCCAAAGACAGTTATTTGGTGGTTTTCTTCATTTGGCCCATCCTCCACCATTTTAGGTTTGTCACTATGGTTGGGCCACCCCTTCACTATTTTTGGACAACCACCATAGCAATGCTGCCCGACCACTACCGTCATCACCACCGAACCATCCCCATCAGGCTACCACCGCCAACAATGATGACATTATATTTTTTGGCACAGGAACTCAACCAACACTTTTCCTTTACAACAATGGAGTCACAACCTCTTCCCTAACATGTTCTGTCACTCCCTTAGTGAAAGTCACGTCGATAACTCCCACTTGTATAATATTGCTTCATAGTATTCAAAGGTCGGTAAAGTCTTGTAACCATTATAAGCATAGCGAACTTTGTTTAGTTGAGCCAAGCTTTGTGATTTTTACCATTTTGGAATTTTCACTTAAAAACTCTTGTTATTATCTCTGTCAACTTTTATTTATCTTTCTGGATGTCGGATCTTCATACAACACTTAGACATTAATATATTACTCTTGCGACGTGAATTTACCAGCACACAACAATTATAATTGAGATCAATAGAAATATGTGAATGGATGATATTCTATAAAAAAGTATGATTGTTATGAGACTAGAGTTCTCTTAGGGAGTGTTTGCATCAATAATTGATGAGACAAGGAGGGTGAGACTTTGGATTGCTTAATTTACTAATAAAATCTTATGGAACTTTGAGGATAAATTAAAGGTGAAAGAGAAGGGGAAGAGATAAATAAATAAAGTACACAATAATTCAAGTGGTTTCAAATTGTTGGCTCACATCTATAATACAAAAAAGAGAGAAAATTATCATAGAATTTGGAAGAAAAGAGAACCATCAACTTTGTATAATGTATTTTAATTATCAAGCCTCTTTAATTTAATAAGTAGTACAAATTTTTAATGATTAATACATATAGTCTCAACAGGGAGCATATGTGGCATGTCATGAGTGGTGTGACTAGGTAAAACAACAATATTGGTATAATCAATATGGGGAGCTTAAATTATGTCTCGTCAAAACATTGATGTGGTAGAGGACATGAGCTGACTATCAAATTTGAGTGTTTGGTGTTGGTTGATGGCCAATTAGATGGAGATTAATAGTTGTAGACCATATAACAACATGAATAATTGTGGCCAGCTTGCCAAGCAATCATGGCTAACATTGCAAAAAGGTTGAAATGGAGTGGAAGAATATCCTTTGATGTAGTGGTTATGTTGCACAAGAAGTAGTCACATTGCATTTTCAAAATGTTGAAGCAAGACAACAATGATTGCCGACATGCTAAATATGAAATATGCGACCTCTAGTGAATGTGCTGGTTTTATTTTAATAGGCTTGGAGCTTATCCTAATGGTAAATTAGGGATTAGTTAAACTGATAAAAGAACATAGGCAAAGACAAAATGATTGGGTGGATAAAAAAGTCTTACAAAATAAAATTGAAATATAATAATACTAGAACGGAATTGCATTCATACTAATATGACTTGAGTTATATATAGCCCAAAATGGACTAATATTATGTTGCACATTCTTTTTGTATCACTTTAGAGAGTGTCACATGGAACTCTGCTCCAAGAAATACTCCAAATGAACATTCAAAAGTTTTTTGAATAATAAGACTCACTAATTAATTAATTAATTAAAAAAATATATAAAACATAATTATCTCATAATAAGAAGCCAAACAAAGACAAAAGAGATGCCTCAAGGATTCATGTGAAGAAGGACAAAACATTTATTCCTAGATATACAAATCCATCCCATAACAAGTAATATTGTAAGAGAAATAAGTAGACATACGATGCTAATATTCATTATTATTGGTGTTAAATTGAAAAAAACAACTAAACATAAAATGAGAGCTTAAAAATCACTCATAAAAGTAGGGATGTCAAAATAATTCGTTGTTTGTGAACAGCTCGTGTTTGGCTCGTTGAAAAGCTCGTGTTCAGCTCGTTCGCTAAGTTTACGAGTTGAACATTAATAAAGATTTGTTCGTTTCTCTTCGGGTGTGTTTGAGGCAGCTTATATGTTTCAGGATAAACAACTTATCTTAAAACGCGGCCCGTGGGATTCGACCCGCGGCCTGCGTTTAGTGCAAAAATAGAACCGCGTTTTCGGATAAGCGAGCAAAACACGCGACCAAATTGGTACCGCGGCGTTTTCAAAAATGGCCCTGTAGTTATAATCTGTCTCAAACGGGCCCTTCGTCTCATTTTGGCTCGAAATTCTGCTCATCAATTGTATATATAGACATATTGATGAGTAATATTTTTTAAAAAAATTAATTGATTACAAGGCGACAAAGATTTATAATCAATTAAAACTATTAATTTAAAAAATAGAATAAAAATTATTGAATTAGATTAAAATGATGTTTTAATATAAAAAATAATTTTTAAATATTGCCCCCATCCTTATCATCTTATGACTACATGATTATGATTGTTAAAACAACTCTTTGTTCGTGAACAGCTCGTGTTCGGCTCCCCAAACAAAACAGGCCCAAACCTTTTTGAGCTCAAAATATGAACGAGCCAAACACGAGTTGAGCCTGAGCTCGCTCGTGTTGGGCTCTATCACACCCCTACATATAAGACCATCAAAAGTGTGAAAATAGTTAAGTGGACTAGAGTTCCTCTCTCATTGTAATTTGAAAATTTTGAATTATAGCACACTAACAAATACTATAATTACTAATTTTGCACTTATAATCTCAATATTTGCAAAAGAAATTGACATACCGCCCAATTCCCATGTATTAACATAGCCATCATCTAAAATTCAATTTTTACCTATATGTTGATAGATAGAAATTGGGTGAAAGCTCGTTGTTCGCGAACATTTTGTGTTCGGTTCGTCAATGAGTTCGTGTTCGATTCGTTCGATAAGTGAACGAGACGAACATGAACAAATTTTTTTCGTTCGGTTAGTTAAACGAACCAAACACGAACAGTGATGCGTTCGCTCGTGTTCGAATCGTTATTGTTTGAAATATAAAATAATTATATATAAAAAATTTATGATATTTTAAAAAATTAAATTTTATAAATTATAAAACAAACAGTGATGCGTTCGTTTGTGTTCGAATTGTTATTGTTAGAAATATAAAATAATTTAAAATAATTATATATAAATAATAATAATAATAATAATATTACTATACTATATTAGTAATATACTAATATAGATTACTAATATAAAATATAATAAGTTATATAATTAATATAATAAATTATTTATATATATTAATATTAGGGATGTCAAATTGGCTCGTCCTTCGCGAACAACACGTGTTCTGCTCCTTTGTTAAGAAACGACCACGAAAACTCTGTTCGTTCGTGTTCAGTTCATTTACACCCCTAGGTGAAACCCCTATTTTTAAATAATAATAATAAGAATAATTCAAAAAGTTGAGATTGGAAAACAGTGCCCGCTCAATTTCTAGGGCATCTTCTCCACCGCCTTGATTTACCTCTCCTTCTTCTCCGTGTTGCATGCCCGCAATCCCCGCCGAGCTTGATCCGCAGGTCGCCCGTCTCCGTCTGGCCTTCTCGCTAATTTCGTTTTCGAGGTTCCGCTCTCTCATCTTTCGAACTTCTTACTTGTTTGACGCGAATTTGATGAATCATTTCTTGCAATTGGATATTTTTGCTGTTGCTGGATGCTAAAAGTTTTTACAGAAGGTCAAAAGATGAGATTTTGCATCTATCTATGATAAATTCCTTTCATGGATTTGTGAAACTGCCGAGGTTTCATTTTACCTGTCTTTTGGTAATCTTGTTCGCTTGGTGTTGGGAATGGAGGAAGCATTCAAGGAGTTGGAGGAGATGAGGCGCGGAATGGAGATGCTTAAGGCGGAAAGGAAGGCAGACTATCACCATTCTGAGAGTTTGAAGAGAGCTTTTGAAGAGCAGCAGGCCAAATTGCAGAATGCGAGGGTGGAGATTCAGCAGCAAGCAAAAGAGATTGATGTGAAGTCAGAGGAGATTTCCATGGTAAAACAGAAGTATGAAGACCTTCAGTCAATTTTCCAGGAGAAAGAATCAGCCTTGAAACAGCTGAGCTTAGCTAATGAGAGTATGCGGACTGGATTCAAGGAGAAGATTAAAGAGTTAGAGCAAGTAAACAAGGAGCTTGTTTTTGCTCTGGATGAAGCCAATGTCAAGGCAGAAGAGCAGGAGAATATGGTTTGTGGATATAAAAATGAAATTGTGGTTTTAAAGGCTCTTTTGTCAGAGTCTCAGAAGAAATTGTGTGCTGCAGAACTCAGAGCTCAGGAGCCCAAAGAGCTAAGAAGAAGAGATGAAATGCTAGATGAGCTTGTTAGAGAGAAGGTAGAAATTGAGGACCGCCTTAAATGGAAAACTGAGCAGTTTTGGCACCTTGAAGAAGCACTAAATAAAATTCAACTGGAATTCCGGGCTAGCAAGAAAGAGTGGGAATCAGAGAAATCAAACTTGCTCAATAACATTTCTTCTCTACAATCAAGTTTGGATTTTGAGATTCAAACTTCCAATGATCTTCGTTCCCAGTTACAAATGTGCAACCAAGCATTAGCCCATGAGGAAAGCCAGAGAAGATTGCTTGAAATTCAGATGCATGAATCAAAGGAAAGGTATGATAATATTGCCTTGGAGTATGAGGAGATGAAATCAAATATTGAGACATTAACCGCTAGAAGAGATGAGGAAATTGCTTCAGTTAGGAACTCCCTGTCTGCTAAAAATATACTACTGAAAGAGTTGGAGTTTAAAAACACCTTCTTTGAACAAGAAAATCAGAAATTGCTTGAATCTTTGAAAGAGGCACAGGAAGCTCAGATCAATGGAGTAGAAGCTTTGGCCTCTTTGAAGTCCTTGCGTCAAAAATTTCGAGCACTTGTGTTGGTTCATAAAGAATGTTCAGATAAGCTAAAATCCAGGGAAGCTCATTGGAGTCAACAGAATGCAAGGATTACTGATGAACTCCATGAATGCTTGTTAAAGTTGAAATCTAATGATCATGAAATCAGTAACCTCAAGGAAGAACTGGAAAACAGTCAATGCTTGGCAATGCAGACTACAATGGAGAAAGAAGAGAGTTTTACCATAAATATCATATTGAAATCAAAGTTCATGGAATTGTGCTGTGATCTTATGGGTTTAGATCTTATTGTAGAAAGGGCAAATGAAAGGGCTGAAGAAAGAGTTGCTTTTCTGACAGAGCAATTAGAGAATATGAATATTTCTCTCACCAAAGCCATGGCCGAGGTATCTGAAGAAAGAATGAAGGTACATTTCCTTCAGTCAAAGGTCGAACAATTAAAGTCTGTTCATGGAGAATTTTTATCAATGCAGAAAGAACTTTCTTCTTCTAAAGGAATGGTGGCAGAACTTTCGCAGACTATCAACCGTGTAAAAGAACAAGCTGCTCAGAAGGAACTTGATCTGCAAGATAATTTGCGAAGAACTTCATATGATTTAGAGAAGGCAAATTCTTCTTTTTCTGTAAAGGTTGTTGCATTAGACGTAGTAGAATTTGAATTACAGCAACAGAGAAATGTTGTTAAAGAGTTAAAGAAGGCTAAATGTGACTTAGAAATTGAGCTGCAGAGAAATCATAATGAAAACCAGGATAGTAAAAGGTGTATGGAGAATGCTATTCTTGAAAAAATGGAAATGGAAAAGAGTTTAAAGGAAGCTGAGGAAAACTTTCTCCTAATATTAGAAGGCAAAGAAAGGAAAGTACTTGAGCTCGAAATAATTAAAGTAATACTGGAAGAACATCTCCCTATGATAAACCTGCATATCTCTGCTGTTCCAAAAATGCTATTGCCCCAATCTGTGAAGAAGAAGTTGTACAAGTTTCAAGTCTTACTTGAAAGTTTGGAAGTGAGGCTAAATTTTTTCCAAGATATTATTGATTTGTTGGAACAGAATCATGGGGCAAGTATTGATAATATTTGGATGAGCCTTGAAAAATTAAGAGCAGCATTTATAGATTTCATGGAAGGAAAAGTCAATGTAATTTCTAATATACATCGACGAATTTTAACCTATGATGAAATTTACTTCAGCTTAGTAGAAGCTGCAGCTAATTCCATGTTTTTAGAGCAGAGAGAAGTGCTGATTGATCAAATCATGGGTCTAGGTGATCTCATAGGAAATATTTCGGGAAAAGGTGAAGAGGTAAGGAAATACTGGGATAAGATATTGCAAACAAATTATGGGGTTGATACTGTTACAGACATGGAACGTGAGGACCTCATAAGCTGCAAAATGACGCATGGGAGAAAGTATGCTCCAGCTCTTTTAGACAAGGGAGACGAGATATTTGACAGGAGATTGCCATTGAAGGAACATAACTTCAATTTCTGAATCTATCATGGATGAGTTATAAGGAACGGGCTTATGAATCTGGTATTGTTTGATTTCTTTTTGTTCATTGAAATTAACATATTTATGCTTTTTATCTGACTCAACAATCTCTTAGTACTGTTGCTGCCATTTTTTTAGTTGTCTAGCTTTTATTTTACCAGCTTGATCTTTATAAATAGAGGTTAATGTTGTAGTGCTATCACATTTGACATTAAACATTCTAGATTTACTTTGTCATTTTGAGCATGGTGAATCAGTTTAAGTTCGTGAAAACATGATGTTATTATATTGCTTAATATAATGTATTAAGTTAATGAAAGTAATTAGTTAATTGATTAGTAGTCTTGTATTCTGTAAATAACTTCATTTTGGAGCACATAAGGAATTGAATGAAAATGTGGTAAGCTTTTCCCTTTATTGTTTTTCTTCTCTTCCTTCTAATTTCTGCAGTTGGCGGCATCCCCGAATTGATGTTTATCCTTTTAAATCCGTGTTTCTCTCTTCATTATTCCCCCAACCAATTTTTTGAGTTGACATCCTCAAATTGCCATTTATCAAGATTCAAGAAATGAGATCGTATCACATGATCCTTTTCGTTGCATAAAATATAAATTTAATATCACTACAATATCACATCAGAGTTGTTTTCCCTTCTTGTAATAATCATTTTGTTATTTAGTTCAAGTTTAGCCTTATCTTTTTAACCAATGCATGGGTCTAAAAATATTGTTTTTGATGATTATAGTTGAAAGGGCTTTAATTTAAGCAGTATACTTCTAGATTTGCGAGCAAAGGCCTTGGGTTTGAGACTTCACAACTTTGATATGAATGATTTATATTGTTACATGCATTTAAATATGTAGTTCTTTTTCCCATAAAAAAATCTAATTGAATAAGTGCTTGCTTTATTTTTAATATGAATAAAGGCTAATTATTTGGCATTTCTAGAGGGGTTTTTTTAAAACTGTTTGACGCGGAGCTGATGTGTATTAACAGTTAGTGTGTTGTTATTGCCACCAAATTCACAATGCAAACTTACTATCATATAGAAGATGAAATTTAAAAATTTAATTCAAAATTTGCTCGCATTCTAATGATTGAAATACTCATGCAAGCATCCAGATCCTAAATATATTTCTCAAGATTATTTTTAATTCGTGTGAATCACATTGCAGATTGTGCTTGTACCTCAGGATTTGTACAAGTACATTGCACAACACATTAAAATGTGTGCACACTAAAAAATTTAACTACAAGGGCTTCAGCCACAATACTATTCACTTAATCACTTGGCCATAGAATACTGTACGAGTTGAATATAAGTTTAAAATAAAATTAAATATGCCTCGAGAAATGTACACACATAATCTCTCTTTGTAAAAATCTTTGTGCAACAAAATTAGAATCATTAAATAACTTATGCTCTCGAGCCCTGTTTATAGGGCAGAGTTGTAAGTCTCACCTCAACCAACCAGAGCCTCCACTTGGTAAGTATTGTAGTGAGAAGATTAGGCTCTCACATCAGCCAATTCAATCTTCTTCCTAACAAGGATCAAAATAGACAAGACTAGGTCCTCACTCGACTAGTTTGATCCTTTTTCTCATAAAAAAATGGAGTTGATAAGATTGAGCTTCAACTAAACTAATATGATCCTCATCATAACGATAGGAGTGAACATAACATATGATTTTAATGACATTTAAGTAATAAATCTTAAATAAAAATGGAGTTGATAAGATTGAGCTTCAACTAAACTAATGTGATCCTCATCATAAAAATAGGAGTGAACATAATAGATAATTTTAATGACATTTAAGTAATAAATCTTAAATAAATAATAAATATGACTATTTTAAATGTGTTTCAATTTGAGCCTTGATGATGGTTGTGTTAAAAGAAAATCTCAATTGGAGGGGCTTTTATTTTTAAAATGTCTTCAAAATTCTATGAAAATTATTTTAAATTTTAAATTCTAATATTTAAGTATTTTAAATGTTTTTCAATTTGAGCCTTGATGATGGCTTTGTTAAAAGAAAATCTCAATTGGAGGGGCTCTTATTTTTAAAATGTCTTCAAAATTATGTGAAAATTATTTTAAATTTTAAATTCTAATATTTAAATAAAGTTAATTATATAAAGGCTAAGAGCAAAATCTTATCCCCTCTTTACAATTATTTGACATGGGTGATAAATTTGACATTAACTCAAATTCACAAGGAGTCCACATCATTATCAAATATACTATTACATTCACACTTCAAATAATGCCATGCTAATAAGGATAAGACTTGTTCTTTGTTTGAATGATTTAGCCAGTTGGCTTCACAAATGAGGTAGTTACAATTAAAACTCTTTGATTGTAGTATGTATATTCCTTAATGACTTCCTAACCTTTTCAGCTTTGAACAATAGGGTATATTTGATAGAGCACAAATCCCCCCATTATAAGCTAAGGTTGACTTGAATTTATTTCCTTAGATAAACATTAGTTTCAAGTTTATTAGATTGTCTTGAATAAGACGACACACAACTGCTGATAAGAATCTTTCGATCAGGTTTAGTTGACTATCTTCTCTGATTAAGTAGATCAAAAATCATGGCAATCCGGAATGACAAAACTATGAGATCTTGATCGAGTTTTTCAATATTTCCCGTATCATTAATTTTAAGCTCATAGTGATAAATTTTGTAACCTAAAGCTCAAGTATGTAGCTACTGTAAGTTGAGTTTATATACTTAGTGCCTAATAGCTAACTTTAATCAAAATTGTTCTCCTATTAATGGAAGGGGTAATTAATCATAGACATTTGTACCAATAGAAATTCTCAAATCCCAAAAATTGAAATTCTCACAAAATGACGACAAAGTTTCATGGTAATGACTTATCTACTTCAATTTGCCTTCTGAAAATTTTACTCTGAATTTCATGTAAAACTCTCTCTCTCTCTCTCTCTCACTATCAAGTGCAAAAGAAAATTGAACTGCACATCAAAAGATATGAAGTCGACATCTCATTGGATAGGATCTCGCTCAAATGAGTATTAATGGGCAATTCTCTTGTTGACTTAACATAAAAAATTTCCTCGTATAACCACACTATTTTTTGGTCTTGAGATTTCTTATGTTTTGTAACAATAATGAACGAAGCCACTATCAACTGCTCTTACTTTAAACATGTCATGAAAGAGATTCATACTCCACTTGGCCTATTATTCCCTTAGACATACTATGACTGTAGTTATGATAGCAAACAAGTTTGAAACAATTTGGGTTGGCAACTAGCCATAATATCATATAACTATCAACTTGGAGAAAAATGCGAGTCGGAGTCCAAGGCAAAACCTGTCATTGTTTTTCACTAAGTTTAAATGCTCGCTTTCTTCAGAGGCTTAAATCAAGAAATCTCCAATACCATAAAATTTCTCTTGAAGTAACATATTATCACATTTGGTGATTGAGAAAGAAAATATAAATTTAGTATTCGTTAAGCTCTCAAAACAATTTGAAAAACATAGCTATCACAGTCATTTAAGTGAGGTATGCTGAGGAGAAATGTGAAAGAAAACAAATGAAGGTAAGTGATGATCATAACTAAGTTTTTCATATAATTTATAGAAACTGGAGCATCACATAACCTGTTAATAAGGTTTAAATCACGGTATATTTCTCGGCTTAATGGAGAATTTGAGATGACATCAACAACCAAATCAACTATATAAGAAAATAAACAAAAGCATGCTATCTTTTTTACTAGTTATGGGTTCAAGTTTTTGACATATAGGAACATTATATCAAAAAGCAAGTTCTATCGATGCATTCTGGAACCCGCCAAAATAGTGCAATATGAATTTTTTGATATAGCTTACAATCCTCTTCAAAAAATAGGTTCACGAGGATGATTTGCCCTCCAAGATGCCAACCTTTGTTTAGTATTGGAAGGTGAGCAATGTAATTATTCTAAGAAGTCATCTAAATTTATTACCAAATTTTGTAATCAATGTGTGTTATTTATAAATTTCTTCCTCTTTTATACACATAGATATGCCAAATTCAGCTCAAATCTCTGACATAGCAAGAACATGCCTTTTTCTCTCATTTTCTTATTCTTTTTTTTATACTTTGCGAAGATGCATGTCTAGAAAACTCCATAGCCTTGTCTAACTGAAGGCGACTCAGCTCAGGACAACTCAACTGAATAAAACAAGTGGGGGAAAAAAAACTCACAAGGCTCATAGGCCATTAACCTCAAAACTGGTGATTTACTTAGATAAGCCGACAAACTTCTCCCAAACAAGTTGCCAACATTCTCAAACATGTTGATTTCTCCTAGAAAAGTGATCCCAATTTTCTATATAGATAGATGTAAAATGTGATGTATGCGATTAATTTCCTTAATATATATTTTTAATTTGTAATAAAGTAAAAAACTTGATCCAAAGCAAAAGCTAGGTAAATCTTTCACTATGAAGCAAATAAGAATGCAATTATAGTATTTCAATATGAGATAATAAGCAAGTATACGTATCATTATCAAGTATATAGAAATTTTTGATTAAGTCCCGAATATCGATCCCACAGGGAAGACTAATTTTAGATAACAAAATTTTAGTTAGCAATATATTCTTACTTAAACTTAAGATGCTAAAATAGAAATGAAAGTTCGATTCTTTTTGTAATTTTTGATTATTTGAAAATAAAGTAAGCAACTAATTAACTTAATTAAAATACTTGCAAGATGAAGAAAATATAAATAAAATATCTTTTATCTTATCATGAATCACTGATAAATATAGAAATTATGTTGTGGAAGTATGCTAAATGTGTTGTGTCAAATATGAGCAATAATATTCTTTACCCTTACTAGAGAATATTTGAGCAATAATATTCTTTACCCTTACTAGAGATGCTATAAAGAACATTAACTAATATATAGTTTGAATAGTCTTGAAGTCCGGCTAGACAGTGAATATACAAACTCTCACTCTAGAGTTCCCTCTTCTCCCTCCATTTGGGGGCTAACATCTCGTATCAAAACCTAAAACTGTAATTCAAATTGGGGGCTTTAATTTGTCACTCTAAATTCCTCTAATT